ACGAAAGATTGAGCTAAAGTCCATCATTTTTAACTGTTTACCAAGTTCTATTTTATCAACTTTAGTTTTACTTAGGGTTGATTTTAATTTAAATGTTGTGTGTAGGTATAACACTACGCTATCGTGGTCAGTAATACTAGTTTGAATTACAAGACATTGAGCTGATGACCTTGACCTCAACATGACATGATCTAGGCACGTTTTGTTATGAGTTGGGATATAATGTGCAGGTAAAATTCCGTGAAAAGCTAACATTTCCAAGTAAGGGGACTTTCTATTATCTGAACTGTCTTTGGATATGTCGATATTAATGTCTCCTATTAAAATAAGGTTTTGTACTGAGGAGTATTTTTCCAAAGTATCATTTAATGACTGAATAAAATTATCTATATTTTTATACCCCGGAGGTCTATATATTACTAAAGCTGAAGTGTTGGTATTGACTTTTATAGCTAAACAATTACAATCTAATACGAGTTCTTCTTTAATTATGAACGAAAGAACGTCTCTAAAATATACAACCACACCCTCGTTTTGTGTAAGGTTATGACTAGTTGCCTTAATATTATAACCCTCCAAGGTTGGCAAATTGGTGGATGACGGTAGCCAGCATTCTGTTAACGCGATACAGTCCCAGCTTACATTACTTCTACTTAGTTCAGGTATCAATCCATCTAAATTACAGTTAATACTTCTAATGTTCTGATGAAATAGTTTGAGAAAATCATTTGGGCCTGATAACAGTGATTCACAGTTTTCAATGTCGCATTGTGAAGATTCAGCAATAAATAAGAATCTATGTCACTGTGTATTTGATTTAATTCATCGAATTTTATATTTAAATTGATCTATGGGATAAAAAAATATCTAGCAGAAATCATAATTGGTTTTTGAATGGGTACTGGTATCAAGTATTAAATAATGTCACAGTAATAATATGATGGTTGTTCATATAGTATATGTAATTAACTTTTATTGTAGTGAACAATATGTTTTTTTTTTATATGTTAAGTTTGTGTGGTGAAGTGTTTTTGTTATGTAGATATAAAATAACATTAATATAAAATTTATAAATGAGACATACAATATAAAAAAATTCGTATAAATCGTTTTGACAAGATTTAAAGTCCTGCATAGAGCTATATACATGAGGAGATTGCCTACGTATTTTATCGTACGAGCAGTGTTGGAATGATATTTATGAAAATAATATAATATCATAGATAGTCACTTAACTGATGCTTGTTTCCTTAACTCTATTAATGTGGCCTCTTCTTCATTGGAGAATATATATACTCGTTTGTTATAATTTATCCACTTTATACATTAAATAAAACTACCTTGAATTACGTGTAATTGGTGACTTTTACATTTTATCATGTTTTGGACCATTCGCAGGTTTCGTGTTTTAATAAAGTCATGGTCACGTGATTCAGCTATAGTTATGCATGTAGGTAAAAGATTTCTTAGAGATAACAATTTGAATAACTCAACTTGGAGTTGTTTAAATTGGGAAGCACTTTAGAATCGGTGACTACGCCTACGTACGCAGAAGGGAGGGGGGAGGGGAGGGGGAGGGGGGTAACTCCCTCCCCATCACTTGCCAAAGCGCGGAGGAGCATAGTTTGGAAAAAAAAGAAAAAAACAAATTTTGCTGTTACATCATCCAGATAAATTAAAATTTCGAAAATACATTAAGTACCTAACATAAACTAAATAAAACAGGAGTTAAATAAAAACAAAATATAAAGTATAAAATCTAAATGGTTTTTTTTTAAATTTCTAAACGTCATAAATATTCAATTCACCAATCTTCAAAATTTTCTTTATAGTTTGTTTTGTGGAATCTTAATTAAAGATAACATATATCATTTTTATTGGCCATGTTCTGTCTGTGGTCTGAAAAAAAAATAACCTCGAAATTAAAGACGATCGCTACGCTGCGCTTCGCGATCGTCTTAAATTTCTAACCTATCACGTGACCTACAGATATAAAACAATATTTGACTTTGTCCACTGAATTGGATTTAAGCGGCTCCGGCTTATAAAAACACTCTAAGAGTAGGGCAGACTAGTACTATGTGAGATTTGAAGTTGACTAATTCGGTTCTATATTAGCATTGTAATATATAAAACACCTTAAACATACCTATTATACTGTCCATATTCCACATTTTCAATAATTCCTCAGTGAAGAGGTACAATCGTTGTGGTGCACGACCTGCCCCTGATGATGAAGCCTGCGATTCAGTAGGTTCCTCCACCGACACTGATATCGCTAATCTACTTCCCGTAGGAGTCAGTGGCTCTTTAGAGTCCAACACCGACGTCACTTCACCATTCTCTTAAGGAGTCGGCGGCTCATTAGAGTCCAACACCGGCATCACTTCACCACGACACAAAGGAACCGGCGGTTTCATAGAGTCCAACACCCTTATCAACCACATTCACTATCACCACAATCAGTCGAATGCATGAAGAAATAGCAATGACATTCACAGAAGACTCGAGCGAAACACAGAAATACCGGCGCAACGCGAATTAAAGCTTTGAATAAACAAACGGCGGTTGACTGCTTGTTTAGTATAATCGTGTTTCATTTCACAAAACATTCTTCGTCGTCAAATACTCAGTATGCATTTTAAGATGCATAACCGATGTGCGAATTTAAAATATCATAAAAAGATGCAATTTTCCGATAAACTGTTCAATTTTTAATTGGTTGTTACTTCATATTTTCTTTTTGTCACAAAAAACATAAAAAAATATCACGATACCATCAGCTGTATGCACATGAATCCCTTTGCTTTTCAATCGTGTCAATTTTTAAAACAAAAACATTTGTCAAACATAATAAAAACCTCGTTCAAAACAATATTTTAGACGTATTTTCAAAAAATTATATCTCGAAAACTATCTCACTCCGCACTTTGATATTTTGGAAATTTATGCCTCTTTAGTGTCTGTGTGTATAAAAAATATATCAACACAATCTGCGTAGTCGCCGATACTAAAGCTGAGCCCTGGTTTGCATTGGTCTTTCTGGTCCAGCGGTCCAAATCTGTGATAAGTTCAGCGTCGACTACAGCGCCTTGCAGCTTTAGACGTTCATTCAGGGCCGGATTAGCCACGTAGCAAAAGTAGCAGATGTTACGGGCTCCGCGTGTTTTAATTTATTAATTTTATATAACAAATAATGCAAGAAATAAAATAAGCCATTAAATAAGTCATATTTTAAGTATGAACATATGCTGTCTATAGCAGATTAGTTGTGTTATGTTATTCGGGAAGCAAAGGATGACTTTTATTGGGGCGGGGGTTGCTTGTTACGGGTCCGCTCTGGATTCATTTGAATAAAACGTTTATTACCTTTTGAAGTAGGTTTTATTTGATTTAAACCTTGTTCCGAACTATGCATGCAGTAGTTAACATGCAGTTGCACGTTTCGTTATATTGATAAGAATTAGTTCGTTGGCAGCAAGAATTGTTTTTAAGAAATAGTCTAACAAATAAATAAAACATTTGCTGTACTAGGCCTTACATTGAGTCGAGTTTAGCCCTTACTGAATGAGATTTAAAATTAATTGATTCGCTCTTGTGAAGGGAGCATTTATGATGTATTGAGGTGCGTGGGTATATTATTTATTGTATTATAACTTTTTTATGTATATGTAAGTGTATATTATGAAATATGCGTGTGGAATTGTATATTTATAATCGGGTACTACATTATTATCACTGTTTTTAATTTATTTTATTTTGATTTGACCCAAGCAGGGCGTCACCACACCACCTAAGGGGGCCAACTGAAAAGCGACGCTGCAGTTAACTGCAGCACATGTCGAATTGGCACCTTTTTTTTTATTCAAGTAGGCTTATTACTTTTGAATAGCCCAAAAAATTAAGTTTTTTTCCTAGCACTTGTTCAGGACGTCTTTTAGCTGACAAGAAGAACAAACGAAAGAAACTTACCAGCTCTTTATCATTAGAAATGACATTTACATTTTTTTTAATTTATTTAATTATCGTTGAAACAAAAAGGTATCACTTAAACCATTTGAGTTTGTGTGTGATACATTACACTCATGTACCTAGTCCATATAAACATACAACAATAAACAGATATTCATATTCTTCCGTTGTTTATTTCCTTATTATTTTCCTTTTTATTATCTTTTACAACGGAATATTAAAACAAAATATAAAATAAGGAATAATACAACAGAACTGAGACCAACAAGTATTTGTACAAACTTACATAAATCATGTCATTACCTTTTGGACACCTTATGCACTCTATAATTTAATATTAATTTATTAATGTCTATTGCAAAATCGTATGTGTGTGTGTTCAATAAATGATTTCTATTCTAATCTATTATATTTTACGACTGCATCCTGCGATCTGCCATGTCTGTTAAGCAACGCAATAATCGGTCATAGGATAAATGATCAAAAATTTATTATTTCGAGCTCCTCCGTCTTTCTGAAGGCGAGTTAAACCGTTGGTCCCGGCTGCGTCTGTGGTTTACACCCACCAATCCGCACTGGGCCTGCGTGGTGGATCATCGCCCGTCTTTCCTATTCGTTCTATCCATAAGGAAGGCCCGAGACTACCACTGGGGACACTAATAGGCTGCTGATAATAGTGAATAGTGAATCAACATGCGGGATGCAGACGATTCCTGTGGTTCATTTCTATTGTCTTTAGTTAATGGAAAGTTCATGTTGGCCGATCGACCATGTAATGAACCATATGGGCACACTGTCTGTAGGTTTAAATTTTTAAAAAATACAATACTAATATTTTTTACTAGCTTTCCGCCAGTGGCTTAGCCCTCTTGGTCTTGTATTATACAAATAACTTTCCTTTTGAATCACCCTATCTATAAAAAAAACGCATAAAGTAGTTTTAAAGATTTAAGGATACATAGGAACACAGGGACAAAGAAAGCGACTTCGTTTTATACTATGTACCTAGTGATGTCTAATAAGAGCAACTCTGAATAATGTGTCCACGTTTTACCTAAAACTTTGTATGGATTATGTAAAACTTTGTATAATTCATGTAAGGATTATTGTACGTTAATATTATATGTATGTTTATTAAAAATTGCTCAAAATAAAAAACCTTAATAACATATATGCTTTAATTCAATTAATGCCGATACAATTATGAGCTTTTAGTACGTAATATCAAAGTCACATCTGGAATTATCGAACAATTTACAACCTTATTTTATGTTAAAGTGGTTATATTTTACAATGAGACAAAAATGTTTCTTCTTTTTTTACTTATTATTCAATTACTTAAATCTCTTCAGAGCTTATTCTAACGATCTGAAGAAACTCAAGCAGATTCAAATAATTACAATAAATGAAAATAAACAACTCGTTATGTCATTATTTACACTAAAAATGATTTTCGCATTCAAACTAAAATATCATTTTAATGAAATGAAAAATGTCATTACTGGTAATTAACCGCGCAATAATTACAACCTTTTTTAATACTTACGTGACGACATGAGTTTTAACATTGACCTTTTTTAATTAAACTTTAATAGTATCTTAATCATATTGACAATATTTTTTGAACCTTCGATTAATGCTTATATCTAAATGACAAGCTCTTGCTTTGTATTTCAATATTAAAAAAAGGAATCCGCTTCAAAATTGAGATGGCATTTAATTTAATAGCAAAAATGTTATAATTATTACAATACTGTACATTTAACTATAGTATTTTGAGACAGCTGAAATTCAAGAGATTTTTTATCATAACACACATATAGTAATATCATAATTAAAATTATTTAAATGTAGAAAAAAGAACGGGGATTTTTTTAGGTCTCAACAAACAATTATATATTTCATAACTTATACAATTCAGTCTTGTATACGTACATTTTTTTTAAATATTCTCAAAAATTTCAGTTGGACATTTTGTCGCTTTAATTCCAACGAAACTTTGTAAATAAAACTTTAAACTCTTAATGTCTAGAAAGTTCGTTTTACTTTTAATGCTATTTTTCACAATAATTATTAATTAAGTGATATTTTACTCTCAAAAATGGCGTAAAATTATAAGGCACGGTTTTAATAATTTACTAAACTTACTTGTACGAAGTAGGTCGAGAAGGACGTATTACACAGCTAAAGTTTTCTATCTAAAGGTATTTTTTTTGTGGAAACACACCTACGTTTTGGCACTTCTTCAGTTCGCAGTTGAAAAGAATGTCATTAAACTGTCAATTGATATGTTTTCAAAAGTTGGATTGAAGAAATAAAATAAATAAAGTGCAATAAAAATAAAACAAAAATGTGTTCATTTATTAGATTTTTTTATTTAAATTCGAAATGTAACATGTAAACATTTCTGTAAATATAAAAATCGTATTTATCAATGGATGGATTTTCAAACATTCAAAATAATTTAGATTCTCTCGTCTTCGAAAATTATAATATTTGAAAATCGCACAAGATCAAATAAAAAAAATGTAGCTTAAAATAATTAAAAATAAGTTACAAGTTTGATTTTAAAATAAAATGAGAACAAGAATAAAAAGATAAGTAATTGTACATAATAATAATAACTTAATAAAACTTTGGTATTCATATTAAACCGATTAATTTTTTGAGTAGAAAAGCTATTAATAGAAAAGTTACATTAATTTATTTACAATCAATCTAAGCTGCACATAAATTATAAAAAAATAATTAAAACCAATTATTATTATTGTCAGTTCGCGATTGGAGTATTATTATTATTTTTTTAATAATATTTACAGTTATGTGTCTTGAAATGTAGTTCAACTTAATTTACAAAATTATATTAAAATAAATCATTAACTAATTGTAATGTACTTTTGGTATATTACCATTAATTTGGTATATTATGTCATATTTATTACCTTTTACAGAAAATGTGCTACAAAATCAACAGCGTTTCAAATTGCATCGTTTAAAATAATCAATTGTCGTTTGGAAGTTTTCAATATTTTTTCATTATTATATATACATTATGCATTAGCATTCAAAAACAATTACTTTATAACTTTCGAAATTTCAAAACAAAGGGTTATAATTTATAATAACCATGGGATAAATTTCAAATCTTTCCCTTTTATATCCATAATTTTTTTATTCACACAATAATTATAAATCGAAACATTCTCATACAGTATAACAATTATTAGACACTATCGCAAAAAACATAAAGAGATCCATCATAGGAATCGATTCATTATCGTAACAAGCATGGAAAAATTATCATAATAAAAATTTCAATAAAACTTTTCATTAATTTATCGTCTAATTAAATATTATAATTTCTAAAATGATTCATTATTTTGGACAATGCGTGTCGTTAATTTCATTATATATCGTTTTGGACGAATTATTCGTAATTATAATTAATAATGATAAGGTCAGTCGAACAGTACAACCAGACTTCAGTTCACAAAGTAAATGAGCGAAACTGTGAGCGTTACTTTTATTCGTTCATCGAACAACTAAACGAAAAATGACGTTTCACTTAGAACGAAGTCACGAATCACATAAAATAACAGTCTCCGTGAATGTTAAGTTTTTTCGTTATATTTAAACAACCGAGTCACTTTTTCATTGGCACTATTCACATTTTTAGTTTATTCACAAGAACACTTAGTACCGACACTCCAAATTAATTCGAACTCACTATTTTCACGCTTATCAAAGCACTTTTCATCCATATTTATCACATTAAATGAAATCAATCCTATCTAAAATTTGAACTAGTCATTCCCCTGGCTATGTACATTTCCCCTGGTTATGTACAAAAATCTATACAACGTGAGTTTCACTTCTTTTATTAAACGATTCATCTATTGTAACGTTCTGTTTCTTCTCTTTACGTATTGTGCCGTACTGTGGCACGTCCGAGGTGAGGTTTTGTACGGTCAAAATTTGACTCGAGCTGGAGTTCTGAGGTGTGCTCGATGACACGGGACTCCCGTACTGGTTGCCATACTTGTGTCTCGACGGATCCTTCAGTATGGACTGAGGCTGCTTCACTGATGGCGTCTGCGATAGTTGCTGGTGCTGAAACAAGTTGCTTTTTTTAATAGTTTCAGGCTAAACGCTGAGTATAGAAATTATGAAGTCGAAGAAACTGCAAATATATTTTTTAAATTTATTATATTATGAAATTTTGATAAGATCACAGAATAAATAAATTATATCGTTTACTATTTAAAAGATTTAAATCAGGCAGTATCTTTTTGTAATTATTTTGGAAAAGAAAACAATAGTTCTTTGAATGAACCAACTTTAAACAGTTTCAGCGCGTTTGTATTTGTTTTCATGACGTTTCGGGTCCTTCATAAGTCTTCTTAAATAAACACGGAACCTGTAAACCGTTTTAAGTTGTTTCATTTAATGAATAGTGGAAATATACGAAATCTGTAACAATAGTTCTGTTTTGTTCCATAAAAGTGGTATTAAATTTAACGAACCAAGGGACAGGTTCTTGGGAATAGAATTTGTAAACCGCGTTTAAAAAGATTACATAAAAATCCATAAATTAAGTTTGTACCTGTGTACAATTACCCTGATGCAACACAGTGACATCTGGCGGTGGGACCGCCATTTTGTCCAGTCTTTGTCTTCTCAAAGTACCACCAGAGGACTGTCTGTCAAGAGCTGTAAATAAAAGTAAATGAGTACTCTTTATTGCACCAGGAAAAATTATCAACATCAAAATTTTCAAAATGGTATATGTTTAGTATATATAGATTTCAAAACATTGATATTTTTAAACCGTAATCCGATGTCCTGTGTGTAAAATGAGCACCCTTATCGTTTTCTAGTGCTTTCTTCCAGGGTAGCATTGCATTGCATGCAATAACATGCTTTTTGTGTTTACAATATTTGGATGAAAATTGTAATTGTACTTTGGAACCTTAATGGTAATTGAATAATTGGGTTTATCAATTGTTTATACTCCTCTCCTATAATATTGTTGATATTAAATACTTATTACTTTGCTGCTGGCACTAGAATCTATTGTTAATTGCATTCGATGTGATTCTATTGAGCGTAATAAATATTCATTAGACGAACATTCTCAAAGAATCAAATGAAGGGAAATCCTTAGTAGCGCATATTGAAAGTCAAGTCTAATGAATTTCAAACAAAAGAATCTTAAATTTGTGTAGATATTATTTTGAATACGTGTTTGTTTTTTGTTCAACAGTTAAGTCGATTTTCGTTAAATTAGTTTTCGATTGAGGAAGTAAAGTCCTTCATGGAGTAAAATTACGGATAATCGAATAATGTTAAGCTCTGTTTGGTGTAGGTGAATCTATACTAATATTATAAGAGGGAGAATTTGTTTGTTTCTTTGCAATAGACAGTGTTAACTAACCAGTGACTCAAAAAAAATTACTGAGAGGTGCTGACACCAACGATTCGGCTCGCGAAATTAAAAAAAAAATCTAACACATATTCAAGACTTTTTAGAAGGTGCGTAAGAAATTCCACAATAATGTCAATAATCTAGATCATCAGCCGTAAGACATCCTGCTCAGCATAGTCTCTTCCATAGCCGATATCCAGCGGCTTCCACCAATCCGTGTCGGGTCGTCGGTCCACCCGGTGGGGCTAACCCACTAAACGTTGTTCGGTAAGCGGTCGCCATTCCAGAACCTTTCCGCCCCAATGGCCATCGATCCTGGCTATTTGTCTATTTTCTGGCTATTTGTCCACTTTAGCCGAACAATCCTTCGAGCAACGTCAGCAACTTTGGTTCTCTCACGGATCTCCTCGATTCGATCAGGTAGACAAACACCGTAGCTCGTTGAGAAGCTCGGTGGCGTAGTGGATAAGCGCCGCGGCCCGCGATCGTAGTCGTTAAGCAACTTTCGCAAGGGTCGGTCACGGGATGGGTGAACAAAAAAATATTATCTCGAGCTACTCCGTGCTTCGGAAGGCACGTTAAGCCGTTGGTCTCGGCTGCATTTGCAGTCGTCAATACCCTCCAATCCGCATCGGGCCAGCGTGGAGGGTCATGGCCCATCCTCCTTAACCATCCATAAGGAAGGCCTGAGCCCCTGCAGTGGGGACGTGAAAGGGCCGGTGATGTGATGATGAGACAAACACCGAGCATCGCTCTCTCCATTGCCAGCTGGGTGCCCGTGACCTCGAGTCTTATGAGACCCATAGTCGCCCCCTAATTGCTCGCTTCCGTAGCCCAGGTGACGAAGTGAATAAGTAAGGGTATGTGGTTACCGTCGAGCGCGTAGGCGTGGGGGGCGTGGGGGGCGTGGGGGGCGTGCGCGGGCGAGCCCCCCGGGACGGCGCCGTTCGCGAGGTGCGGCTTGTGGTGCGGCGCCCCGTACTGCTGCGGGGGCGTCGGCGTGCGCCCGGCGCCCTGCTACAGAACATATACTATCAAATATCTATCTGGAAATTATGAAAACGAAAAGTGCAGGAGAGATGAAGCGCTTTACGCGATGGTTAGTGATCGATCTGGATTGCGGAGGTTAAGTGGATTGTTGACCGAACATTTATATATGAAGGAGGGTAGATTAAGCCATTGGTTCCGGTTGTATCTGCAGTCGTCGACATCGACCGATCCGTAAACGGTCCACGTGACGATGGGCCCGATATGGTCCCCCATTTGATTCCAAACAGAGGGAAGGTGGTGGGGAATAATAACTGGATCATAAATCTAGATATTACAGTAGAACCTTAGATACGGAATTAGAAATCGACATTGACTAATTTACTTTAAGAAGAACAAATGAAATTTCTGAAGTACTCGAAATATAAAAGTCTGAATCAACGAAAACAATACTACACCCAGACCCGAGACAATATAAAAAAGTTAACTTACCGGGTATCGAACCCGGTATTACAGAGATGGGCACACCTTGCAACCAACATGCGAATCACTCGACCACGAAAACTATTAGTATCTTTTATTTAGTTTCCAATGTGCTTCTTAACACATTGTACATTACTAAAATTTTAGAAATGATTGTTATTTTTTTTTAATAGTCCATAAGTAGCTCATTTACATCACAATATTTGTAGATATTAACATAAACATGATTCATAATGTTAACAACCACTAGAGCTTTAATCCGTACATCACACACGAACAGTTTGAATTGTACTACGAAATTTGTAATGTATGAAATTGCTCTATATTTGAAAACTTATGCAATTTCGCTGGACTGAGCACGACGGCTCTGTTACACAGTTTCACACGATTCAATAGCGCGAAATCTATTCATGACGCGTTTCGATGATGAAATCTAGAATTAGTTTTCCGACATATCGGGCTCTTGAAATCCTTTGTATTGAATTAATACCTAAACCTATGCGTTTATTCAATATGTTATTGGGTTTTTATCAGACGATGCTAGTAGTTATAGAAGTAGGTATAATGTTTATTGAATATTCTAGCAGTATAAAAAAACATGATTATCTAGTAAGAGGCTCTTCAGCCTTTCAATGTGCTCACACACAGCATGTTAGGTTACCAGAATATTTTTAAATTCCCCTAAATGATATGGGACTCTATATGATCTTGATATTAAGGTTTAAAATAAAGTTCTGAAAATTTTGAATCTTATAAAATATGACGTGTCATTGAATCTACAAATCGAAAAGTATAGGTGCTGAATAAAGAGAATGTATTCTTTTTTTATTGACTCTCAGGGAGCTCTCTAGAATTGTCATTATGATAGACCTGATATATGACAAAATACACTTAAACAATTATACAAGTATATAGACAATTAACTAAAAGTGGATGAAACGAATAGTCCTTCATTTAAATATTAGCATAAAGCAAACATGTGTTTTTATTACTCCCATTTGGCAAATAGGCAAATATAATCAACCGATGTTTTGTCGAGTATACTGACTGAATATGGGATGGGATTACTTGTCAAATATGATAAACTTGCAAACACGAAAACGAATAGCACAAGTCTCTTGCGAATAGCGAAGTGAAGTGTCACTGTAAAAATGAATGCATAATTTACCTGTTGAAGATATTCTCCTATAAGAGGTGGATACGAGAGGTATCTGTCAGATGACATATTATAATAGGAACCGTCCAATGGTGGCATGGGACTCGGCGCTGGTACATAATTTTGTTTACCTAAGGAAGAAAAAACACATTGACTAATTTTTGTAATGAAACAAGAAAACGAACTTTAAAGCCAGTTTAAAGTTATTACGATAAAAGTCAGATCAAGATGTCGGTTTGAATTATGTTAGATGATTGTAATAAAAAAAAATACCTAGGAAAATTTTATTGCCTTTTTTACATTATTATATTCCAGATTCAAGATTTTTAGTTTAGGGATGGTGATACTAGACCACGCCTAGAAAATTCTCGTCCCTGGAGACTATTAACTCGAATATCATAGCAAAAGTCAGTTTTATTTACTCACCAGCGCTTCTACCCAACGTGCTGTGTCCACTAATGTCCTTATGTCTGTGAGGATGTGGTAATGTTCTCGCGTGATCACCTTCATACACCGCATAATTCGGTGGAGGGTAATCCAATGGAGGTGGGATGACTAGACCTTGTTCATCCATGAGGTACGCGTCCGTTTGCTGCAGACAATTAAGGGAACATCGATGATGAGACGAAACTATCAAATGATACGGATACCTAGAAAACTATGAAATTCTCCAAACCAAAGACATTGCACTTATTAATCTTTTATCTTTTAGATCCACGTTATGGTGATCCAACATTTACCAAGTACAAGTACCAAGAGCAACAAAACTAAGGCCTTTTCACTAACGTCTTTTACTACATTGTGGATATTTTATTGTTCAGCTGATATTAATGTCAAAAAAAGTTTCATATATTTTACCTGACTCAACATATGTCTATTAGGCATGATTGGCACCTCAGGAATTGGCGGTGGCTGCCGATCATCTCCGTCATCTTGCGAATAAGTTTCCGACTTCTCCGACACGGAACTAAGTGTTTCACCAGTCATGGTGTCATTGTATGAAGAGGGAGCATACATTTCTATAGTTGCGGATTTTGATGATTGACCAGCTTGTTCTGTAGAAGTAATATCATCAGGGATTTAGAAATACTCAACGGTTATTAAAATAAGATAGAAGTTACGTAAATGGGGTCACAAATATTCTATTTATAGTATATAGTATATGTTTATAGTTCACAAATAGATACACACATTAAAGTTAAATATTAAAAATTATCATGTATGACTAACTTTGTAGAAAATTTAAAATTAAATTAGTGCAAAACTAAAAAAGCCAAACTACAGCTAGTTAAATTTAGCAAATAACAAAAATTTGTGCTTTCCTTACCTTTCAATCGTCTCGAACGTCTTTTTAACACAAAACAAGCAACTAACGCGGCGTTTATCAATACCAATACAGCACCAGTTATAGACACGTATACAATGACTGATTTTGACACGTCAGCTGTTTCTACCACTTCTGTAGATACGACGTTCAATTCACCAACTTCAGATGAAGCTAATAAGAGAAAAGAAGCAACTAATGACAAAAATGTAGCAAACAAAAAGTTTTGATAGAAAATTTGAAGAAAGAACTGTCAAAACAAGTTTTTAAATTAAAATTAGAAAACAAAATCAACAAAAGAGTTTTACTTAAATTCAAAAAGGTATTCAAATAAAAACTCTTCAAATTTACTATTCTAAATACGACAACAAACAACAGACAACAACGAAAGAGGTCGTAACGCTACTGTAAGAATTTTCTAAAAAATCAAACCTCTTATCCTTTTGTTAGTCCTTTTATGAAGACAGAATCCAATCAGCAGTACATTTAGTAAAATGAGAGCCGTCCCTACGATTGTGCCAGTGATAATGAATACACCGGGGACATTATATGAGTTATACTCTTCTGAACTTGACTGTACTGATGAAGGGATCACGTCTATGGTTGCGTGGAAAAATATTTATAGATTTTAAAAATGGTATGAAAAAAGTTTCCAGCTAACATAATTGAAACAACTTTTAAACTGTTTTAAGATAATATTAACGTTGATAAGAAATATAGTCAAAATTTCTTTTGGCTGGATATATATTTTACTTTACTTCATCAGTGTTGAAAAGTTAATTTGTGATTAACTGAATACTTACTGAGTGTGGTTACTTTAGTATCGTCAGGTCTGTATTTGCTCTGTCCAATGTTGTTGATAGCCATAACTGAAAAAACGTAATCAGTGTTCCTTTCTAGACCACCTATAGTATAACTTGTACTATTTCTGGGTTTAACATCTTCGTATTTGTACGTGTCATCATAAATTTTTCTAGAAAAGAGTTAAAGAAAATTTAGATATAAAAATAAATTGAACATTTTATCTAAACGTGATATTTCATTGAATATCATTTGTTACCTACCTATATCTTATCCTATACCATGGTGTTAGTCCACCATCGAATCCTGGAATCCATTCTAACGTGACAGTGTTATGGGTAACATTCGTTACACTCATTGATATTACTTGATCTGTAGAACAAAAAGAAGAACATTACAATACAAGGAAAAATATTGGCATTTTTACTACCAGTACAGGAAAATTAATTTTTCTTGGCCTCTACCGTTCCCAAACCAAAGCTTCTAACAGTTAATTTTAAATGCATGTTAAGTAATTCATCCTGTATGCATCTGATGTCAATAATAGCAATGGACCCGTGCAATTATAGCTTGTTCATTGAAAGATTCTATCAACAGATTGGATCTGTGTATCAGGAGATTAATAGGCTGATGATGATATTACTGAATATTTGTCAGGGCAGCTAGAGTTCAATAAAATAGGCCAGTGATTTAATATAGTCTTGCTAACGAACAGTTAATTGAATACCAAGTAGACAAATAGAGATAAACATAGGGATTTCATTGATTCCCTGAGGTCATTATTTAAACATATATATTTGTTATTGTAGACTTACAGATGACTTGTCACGAAAATTAATAAATATTGGACATTATTATTTAATATATTTTTTGTTTTTAAATTTCAAAGATGTAGGTAAATGTGATTATGAAATTCTCTAACAGATTGAAGTACTGTTAATTTTAATTTCTTACCTGGTGCACTAGTAACATCAAGTTTCACTGAAGATGTGCTGAATCCCATTTCGTTTCTAGCACCGCATTCGTAAGAACCATAATCGGCTGACCCAACGTCGTTAATGAGCAAAATCGATGTGTAAGTGATAGCATCAATTTTATGGAACTCCGTAAAGTATTTTGTGGAAGTGTTGACTGGTAATTTGGCACCGTTCTTGGACCAAGTGAAACTAGGTACGGGGGCTGCTTGACATCTATATTGGTAAGAAATAAAATTATTTCTTTCGTTAACTGTTCTTTAATACCGCGTTCCTTCATTATATCATATACTCTATATATAGCTAAATATCTACTGCACCAAACAAGTACCTAATTTGAACACGCATTTCTCATTCCCTGACTGAGACTAAACCGTAGTACTCTTTTAACAATAATACAGACAATTCATTTTTCAATATAATTAGGTGTATGACTTTTATGATATTATTCTCACAAAATGCAGTAGATACATTACAAATAAAATATGATAGTTACGATACAATTAAACGGATAACTTCAGCATTCTATTTCATTGGCCTCCATTTATTAAACGTATTTGTTATGTAATGTTGTGTTCACACTTACTTGCAAGTCAGTCTCCCAACATGTCCAACATTAGAAGCGGATTTTGCCAAACTGGGAGTGGTGTCCATCTCTGGCTTGAACTTTACAACCAACATGACATCTTGCCGGCTCTCTTTACCGACGCCATTGTTGACGACGCATTGAAAGATTCCAACGTCATCCCTAGTAGCTTTCGGTATGGTTAAGTAGCTGGTAGAGTTACGAGGCTCAAAAGTTACTGGTTTAGATGAGAGGTCGTACTTTTTGCGTTCCCATTTGAAATGATCGGAATTGAGAGGATTTCCTGGAATATATTTGCTTCTTTAATTTTGAATGCATATTTTCCGTAAATATAAAATTGAACATAATAAAGATCTTCCAATATATAAAAAGTCTAAGATTTATACGGTCTATTAATAAACTATATTTATTTTATATCGCTAACAAATCATAACTAATCAATCATCAGATTTACTGAATCAGTTCCACATGAAATTTTGTGTGGCGTAATAAAATAAAAAATATAGCAAAATAGTGACACTTCCTCTTCATATTAATTGATTTTTAAACTCACCAATATTGGTGGAATTATGATTGTAAATGAGCTAGAAGTGAAAAACTCACCTGTTGCTGAACAACTTAAAACTGCGTCTTCATCAGGGTTCGTTATACCATTTTGACTTAAAGATATGATTCCAGCTGGATCTATTTAAAACAAAAGCATAGCGTTAGTTGGACTTCAAAATTCTTTTTGTACTGTTTTTAATTTTGCAACTATTGCTGTTCAGAAGTTTTCATGTAGTTAGTTACTCAAAAAAAAGTATACAATGAGTTATATTTTCAAAATTAAAAGAGTTATTTTAAAAACTCACATTGTACGGTGACCGTGATATTGACAGTAGATGCTCCTTGAGAATTGACAGCTTCACATGTATAAACTCCTGCGTCATTGCGCGACAACCGTGTCATATTCAACATGCTGCCATCTGATATTATTCTGTCGTCTGTTGTAAAAATAAAACGGGATCAAACTTTAATTACAATATTATGGAAATTTGGTAACACAACATTTTAAATGTTTCCATTGTTTTTCTTTAATTTAATGTAGCGTTCATGAAGTTATTCGAAATTAAATCAGATAAACGACAAATATAAATGCGACCATGAGAAGTTGATTTAAAAACGCTTTTGTAAGGCAACTTCTCAATAGTTAAAAGATCTCTAAAGAAAAACTTAAAGACAAATTCATGATAAAAAGGATAATGTTGAAGCTTTTATGTTTTTTAATCAATTAAGAAAAGACCAGAACAAAAGCTTTCGAGAAAAAACTGTTCCAATACCATAATACTAATTAAAGTTAAATATTGAAATTAAATTACTCAGAAAACAAATCACTTAAGTGGTCTCAAGTCTTTGGAAAGAATAAGAAATGAAAGTTATTATAAAAATGAGTGTAGCAAACAAGATTGTAATGGTGAAGGTGAAGGAAAATAAGTGCAAGTATGTCACCAAAATCCAACGCGTTACAACATAACTTAGATCTAAATAGAATTAAGCATTATCGTGCAGAAGTTGAATGCTATAACTCTGAAAATACGATGTTTAGTAACTAATCAGTCTAAGCAAGATCTGGTGTGCACCGCCCACACACAAATACATTTGCAGTAGTGGCTACAAATCTGGTGACCATCACGAGATTTGTTGCCAGTCATCGAAAAGGTTCAATATAAATGTAAACAAGCATAAAGGTAAGTGACCTCTTTGGCATTTAGGTACTTGTGTGTCTCTGAACTAATTGTACTTAATGGCGTTAATGTTCCTAACTTTCAATTAATGTTGGAGCAAAAATTGTGCCGCTGGAATTTATTTCGCTTGAAGTATGAACTTAAAATAATACGTGGTAAAATTAATAAAAAAAGAGCATCTACTAAAATGAAATAAAGTTACTGTATAAAATACCATATTTGCATTGCGCATTCAAATATTACTCAATTATTTTTATGTTCAAAAGGCTGTTGTCTCTAAAGTGTTAAAAGCTGATATGTTTCTCTATAGAATAGTTTTAGTTCTAAATGTTTTCAAACAAAACTGCGATACAAAAATACGTAAACGTAAATTTTGTGGGTTTAGCTTTTGTGAAAACCGTATCCTGATATTTTCGTATAAACTTTTTGTTTCTATGCAAATGAGTTGCACCACCTAACATATGAGTTCGTTTAAAGAGAAATAGTACAAGAGATTTTCGATTGCTTCCTTATCGATATAAATTGCAGGATTATTGTACTTGACAATTACAAATTATGCTATTTCACTGTAATCGAAGAGATATCAGTATGTAAATTTAAATGTTCCATTCCATTCAGTGTTTTAGTTTAAATAGACCGAGTAGCGAACAATGGATAGCACAGTCCGCCATTTGCTGTAACTTGGCAATAAAGATTAAATATATAAAATAAATAATATATAAATGAAAACGTTCTGCAATGGGCCTTCCCATATGAATGCGAGTGTAAATGTGTTAACCACTTTTACAAGGGCTGGTCATAGGAGGGGTGAAAAATAGAGTAACATCTAGAGCGGTATATTCTAAATGTTTTTGGTAAAGGTTTATCACGAAATAAACGAGTATACATAGCGTGAAATAAATAAGAGATCCGTGAAGTTAAAAACAGAGTACTTACTGGTATTGCTATATGGGGATTGAGTGATTGGAAGTCCATCTTTAGTCCAAGTGTAGGTGATACTTCCAGGGTTACCATGAGCTTTGAGCATAATAACTAGAGTCTCATTCTCTTCTCCGGCTACTGATTCCTGGATAGACTCATCGAAGATTGGTGCATCTTCAAATAAAAGGTTAATATGTCAAGATAATGAGCACTTGAAATTGGATAAAGGAGATTGATTAAGTCAATCCAGAATAGTGGTTGTTTTAATGATACACTTTCAATGAGAACTATTATTATAGTACCTTAAATGCATTAAGATGGCGAAGAATATCTACAATACAAATTTATTTCTAAGAAAAAATATTCTCAATGGCAATTTTTTAAAACGTCTTTACAATATTGTATATACTTCCATATGCAAGTCTATGTGTATTCTTATTCGCTTTAAATACCACATTTCAGCTTATTATTTCGAATTTAAAGACTAATATTTGGTACAGTTTTAAGAGTATACTCACATAAAACAGTTAAACTGAGAGCATCATGAACACTCCTTTGTAATGCCTCATTTGTTGCTTGGCAAGTGTATACGGCTCCGTTCATCTCTTTAGTTATGTTCAATTTGAGTTCTATTGTAGACACCGTTCCCCCGTGAAGTCCTTTCTTCAATTGCATCGGTTGGCCTAAATGAAAATAAAAAAAAACACTTACATTTGCTAATGAGCATTAATGACTACACAACTGTTTCACCTAAAATTATCTGTCTTATTTAATCGTATTTGTTAACGCGAAGCGAGCAGCGTATAAAATTGCCGTTTGCCTTAATTCCATTATGTAAACATCGGTATTTCTTGTCTTGCCTATACAGAAATAATTTTTGCACGCGATTAATTGTTCTCAAATTAATATTATTTATTATTTAATACTAAATGTACTTTGCAACCTTTTATTAATTACTCTAATCTTGAATGATTTACGTAACATGAATTCCTTTTTGAGATTTAAGTGATTACGTGAAATTAAATCCTGAGGCTAACGCAATTAACTCGAGTATTAAACAACTCATTTTTAATAATAAAATTTTAATCAAGGAAATAAAAGGCCAAAGGGAAAATATTTATTTCTTGTTGTAGAATTTACACTTCTAGGAATAGTATTTGTTTGAGACGGTATGTTTGAAATTTTTCATCGTGAAAATTCATGTAAAAATTATGTCCGGATTCAGTATATGGATAATGCCAAGGCCGTCTTAACATATAGGCTACCTTTCATACCACTACATATGTATAAAAGTACCATTGAGTCATTATGTACATAAAGCGAGTGAATCCCATGGCTGAGAACTAGCGAGAAAAAGTCTTGGATGTTCTTGAAATTTATTCTGTTTCAAAGTACACATTTAATGTTGTATTCTAAAGTAGTAATTGCAATTTGTTTATTTAATCTATGCTATTAATAATATAATAATAATAATATTTATTTATTTGCGAAAATATGGTTACAAGGTTCTTTTACAATGTTAGACCAACATATTTTATCGTCAAGACGATGTGCAAATATTGTCTGATTTTATATAATAAGAAAATGTCAAAAAATTAAATTACATAAAAAATAGTAAATGTCAAATAATAGTCAAAAGATACAATAGGTTCATGAACGTCTATATGTAACGTCGGATTATCTACCACAAAATATCTATCCAATAAAATGGAGAATTTAGAGATAATTTCTCCGTTATTCGTATTACATTAATTTGTTGCAACTTGAACGTTCGATCATAACAACTCGAGAGTTTCCTTTCATTAACGTTTCTAAATTAGTAAAAGCACACATGAAACTAAACCATAATTACCTTGTACGGGTATGCCATCACGCCACCAAGATAAGGTAGCCGGTGGATTGCTGGAGGCTGCATCGCAGAACAGAGTGGCTTCAGTACCTGGTTTCAGTTCTTCTGGTTCAGCTCTCACTTTAACCGCCTCTGGAGCGACTGTGTTATAATAAATGTAGATATTAAACAAAATCAAATACAATTCACACATAACTATATCATCGAGACCAAGAATGTGAAGAAATTTTCAATCAGCCGTATTCAAACTGGCAAATATAGAAGAGGACACTTTTCTACACTGATGATATGAATCAAAATTGGATTTAAGATAAAGAATTGTTTATTAACATAAGTTTGTTGATAAGCAATATTAGGAACTACCAGTTAAAGAATATATTTATATATGTTAGTATCTTAAAATCATAAACAAGGAGGGTGTAAGGAATTACATTAATGAGAATAATGCATCTGATCTTGTAGATTTTGAACTCGTAGGTGATTTGCCAGTGAATGATTTCATAGGATTTCATATCACAACTGTATTCAAAGTTACTGAGATAGTTGATTTCGACATTCTAATAAACGTTTGAAGCATGGAAAGAGAGAACAAGACATTAGAAGTAATTTCATTTATAATACCAATTAGGAAGCTTTTGATACAGTGAAAGTATTAAAATGCAACGATTTGCGAGGAGACCCCCGTGTACTCTAGTAAAACTCAATATAACAATTTGAATTATGGAAACGTTCAGAATCTCGAGTAGATCTCGATTACAGGTCGCTCATTATAAATTTAAATTAGCCGAAGCGATATGAATTCCTTTAATGCCCAAGGAAGTTCCAATGAAAACGTTATTATAATACGGAAAAATATAAAAAAAAAATCATTGCATTATCTTTTAATTTGTTAGGATTAATTGAAAAAATTCGGATCCTGGTATATTTGCGTTTTGAAATAGAAGAACTTGGTTTTGTTGAATACCATCTGTTACCTAATGATTCAAGATAAGAATGATCAGACTTTTTATTTTACTTTAAGCCATTAAACATGTCATCTAATAGTTTTTATTTTTGACATCTTTTGGTCTTCATAATTTACCATAAATATTTGAAGTTGCCATATGAGTATCAAGGTCTGGGGATACTGTTTTATTACACTTATACCATAGTTTGAATACTAGGTTTACGTTTGCATATACTTAAACTCCATGTATTTTATTTTTCATTTAGATATTTTTTTAACATTATTTTTATAATATGACAACAAAAAACTTAGGGCAAGAAAATTGTGCACCGATAAATTTTCTTGCATAAGTAATATTCCTGTCATTTATTAATCCTTTTGCTTCATATAGTACAATATCAGGTTGACGTGAGTATAAAAAAGTGTGAATAGTGCAACGTAGTAATTTTCATATGTAATCGCTTCTATAATATTAGACATTATCACCACTCACTGATGCCAAATGAGGATGCTTGGTCGAAGTTTTAAAAATCGCAAAAGGCGTCGTTGTAGTTTCTGCTTTCTAATAGTCCAGTCAAAAAAGCAAAAAATAGCTACCAGTCGATTGTAACATGGTCCGTTGAAACCATAGGCATCACGTCAAGCACATGCTTTAGCTTTACTACTCTCACTAATAGTTCTTAAAACTTCGTTAGGCATTGAATGAACTGTTTTAATGTCTTCCTTTCTTTTGAGTTTTTATGCCTTTTGGTGTGAAGTAACGACAGCGGCATTTTGACTGTTGCCTTTTCCATTAAGTCTAACGATTTTATCGATCGTACGGATCAACCAAATATCGTTAGTTCAGGATTATACTTACAGTGCACGTTGAGGGTGACCGTTTCGAAGAGGGGTATTTCCGTAGCGCTGTTGGTCGCCTCGCAACGGTATTGAGCCAAATTGTCAGTGACGTTTGTCAGTATCGATATCTCAGCAGACACTGACTTCTCACTCGTCTTTGTTACTGAATGGATCTGTTAGAAGAAAGAATATTTAACATATATGAGACAAGGAAGGACAATAAGTCGTCATACTCTGGTTCAGGTAATTAGGTCTAGATATCAGTTGAAAACAGCTGGTCTTAGCTTATCTGCTCAAAATATTGTCATTCGCGATCTGATAGAGGATACGAAGTTGAGTGAAACTCCAACTGCCAAATAACCAAGTGATTTTGAATTACACTAGTATATGCTTGATAATGTATACCTTTTTGTCATTCTTGAACCAAGTGAGAGTGGCGAGCGGGTTACCCCCAGAAGATATGCAGGACAGCTTCTGAACAGTTCCTGCTGACAATGTCGTGCCGGGTATGTAGCCAGTGATCATGGGAGCTGATGGAGGGTCTGTAACAATATAAAGTTGTTAGTTTCAGTACATCGTTGGGTCCTTTGTGATGTAGACAGAAACAATCTAGTCATACAAACCATGGGCTTTCATACGTCTTTCGCATTTGTCAAGATACATTTTTGTTGTGCTGTTGTTATATTTATTTAATTTTATAAAGAAAATATATATGTACGAGTAGCATAAGATAACTATTATCAATACTATACAGTTTCATTGAAATAGCTTCAAAATTATAATAATACTTGTATAGTTACTAGCTTACTAAAAATGTGAAACAACATATTGCAATACAAGCGATTTAACACTTACGCCATTTAGAAAGCTTAAACATAAATACGGCTTAGTTTTCTCCTTGATATTTTCCAACCCTTATATCTAAAGCAATAAGAAAATATCTCTTCGAGATATCCTGCAGAAAGTGAACGTTTACAATAATATGACAAACACATTAAATATTATAGGCTATGCCATATATTTAATGATCCAAGGCACACAGTTACCGATCCCTTTGCTTCACAAATGTTTTTATTTGTGAAAAATTGCACAATAACCGAGCGATATATATTTGTTTTGTTACGTTTTAGCTCCCGCCGTCCATTTTGCTGTGAATACCTTACGGACGCATTACGTAGGGGGGGAAAAAACGATACATATATGTGAAACGTTCATTGTATGACATAGTAAACGATGCTTAGTAGACAATGGTTTAATTTCGAAAGGAAAGACAAACATGAAAAAGATAATAGACGGCTTAGGGAAAGGAGTTACGAAATCTAACCTTACCTAACCTAACCTATTATTATTGTACCAATTCATGTAATAAAATAAAATTGATGGAAATTAGTAGTTATAGACCTAATATTTCTTTGATATTTAAATAATATTTATTTTTAATTATGTTTCCAGTTAGGAGTAATATCTACAATATTATGACTAAAGTACATTTGTTTAACGTGTAAACATACTATCAATACGTATACTATGCAGTTAGAATCAGTCCGAGTACCAAAAAGCATCAATCAAACAGAGAATGCCATTACTGTTTTGCTTACATATGCCTGTATTATGGTTTAGTCATTCGGAATACAGGATCGATATCATTATCGATATGGGTCACATAATCAGCGAGAATGTCACGATTATTTCAGGGGACAAATACGTGGCGTAAGAAGAGGCCGATCAATCATTGGAGACTTGGAATATATGAACCAACATTGTCCAATATTCGTCAACTATGATGTAAATGGTTGCACGAACTGTTGGAACATTGATGTGAGGTATTGGGTTAAGTGAATTGAAGTCTATCAAGTAAAGATAACATTTTAATTGCTGATAAATTTGTGTATATGACTGAAAATGCAAAGCCAGTAACTTTAAGATAATTTGATTCTCACTTTTTCGAGTAAAGCAATACTGAGGTGAAGCATCTTCCCTAGTTATTCAGGGGCAGGAGAATCGATTCCTGCCTGATTTAATTTTTTCGACATTGGGTTAGATTAAATATTTAATGTTAACATTGATTTAGTAAAGATATACTTTTGTAAATCTATTGACGTCTATTAGAGCTGTTAAGTTTCTTTTTCTCGATCTTTTTATCAGTAAAAGACGACCCAAAAAATGTTGGATGATTCAAAAGTAGTTAAAGTTTATTCTTTGCAACGTAACAATTTTTTCTCCTATAAATTTTTGCGGCTTCTGCGAGATAAAAAACAGCTGATGCATTCTTCAAAAGCTCTCTGGATGGATCATGAAGTTGGAGAATTAAAAATCAACATTTCAGCACAATTAGTAAAAGCTCATTTACATGATCGCATTCGTTGGGCGTTGTTGGCTTACTAGATTGATTAAAAATTTATTCGCTAGGACAATGGTCGAAAATTACTCGATTCCGATATTAAGGTCTTTGCTGTGCTTATTATTGATACCATAAATACTTTTTATACAATTTATATTTAATGAAAAATTATAGAATTATTAAAATTGAGAAAAAGAAACAGATTGGAAATAAACAGTTTTCTGTCCCAATTTATAGATATTAAAATCTTTATAGCGGATATCTCTTCTTACTTAGATGCTATCTATATTATTGCAAAATTTTACGATAGCCAATTTTATTTGAAATTTATTATAATTTAAGTTCAGAAGTAGTGTTCTGTAGCAAAATCAGTCTCACCATCAACGTAATAGATATCATATTTCATTGTTACAACAGAATTCGTATAAACACCCAAATATTTTCCATGAGATATTAAAAATTCTATAACTGGCAACCGACAAGCGCACCACTATAATCCTCTAGCGTCATTTGACGGAGTTAGTTATACCGACATAATTAAACATAAGCCCATACAAACAAGCCTGAACATGTCCCAATTATCCCTGAACTGGGGTACAGCCATTATTTTAATTACTGTGCCGCCTCCTTAATATGTAGGTATTACATACCTACTACTATGTTGGAAATTTACACGCCGTATCTAATCAGACTGTGGACCTCGATGGTACAATGGCTAGCGCGTTCTATTAGCGCGCCCGGTCTACGATGCGGAAGAAAAGTAATTTTAAGGCCAGCCACGGGATGGGTGACCAAAAATTATCTCTAACACTCATGTGCTTCGGAATGAAGTCGTCTACCAATCCTAAGTGAGCCTATAGCGTATACTCCCCATCTGATTCCGTTCCATATGGAAGACCTGTGTCCAGCAGTGGGGAGATAAATAGGCTGATGATGATGATATACTCATTACAATCTTTCAGTTAGATTGATCAAAACTAGATCAAACTGACTTCACAATAATATTTACGATTCATCTCTTTGGTAATTTAATTCATATTTTTACATGTCACAGCTTAGTAAGTTTTCTTTGCACACAAAATCCTTTGAACAATTCTCGCATATTAAGAACTATTTCTATGAACAGTAGGGGCCGAGCGCAAGCGATAATCACCTGAACGTGGTAAAGGACCAACTCCTTAGAGTGTGCAAATAGTTTAACTTACTCGCTGAACATGCAATTAAGTTTGGTGCTCTGTAATTATGTATATGTTAAGCTTAAAATCAAAACCCCTTTATGTTCTACTTATTTAATTAAGAAACTTAACTACATAAACTAACTGAGCAAAATTTTAACTAAACACTATAACTTAAGGGGCTCAACATTTATAAGGCGCTCACCTTTACTATGTAAATACAAAAATAATATATGACGTAAACTAAACGACAATTTAATTAGATTGCTTAGCAACTTTTACCACCACCAAAACTTAGCTTTATTTCTAGCTATGTTCTTTACATCTTTTTCAGTTATGATATGACGCAATGCATAATTTTATTTCGTATAATGATCCTAGGTTAGCTTGGTACTGTGACCGAAACAAAAAGCGGGCTGAGCGATCGAAGCGAGCGAGCCGCGACAGCAGACGGCGAACGCTATATTTCTACAAGTTTTTAAAGTTATGCTTCAGCATGTTTTGCAATGTGTGCGTGTGTTGTGTTGTGCGTATATAAAATTATTATGAAGAAAAGTATTTCATGTTATATTATGTCTTAAGATTTTATGCAAATAGATAGGGAACCGATTTCTTAACATTAAGCCTACGTTTTTTTGGAGTATTACCTTGAAGCAAATAATGTATTATAAAATGTCAGTATTCCAAATTACAAAAACACATCAAAATGACTAATAAACATAAAGCGTGGGTCACACAACGTACAACAAATTACAGACACACATGGTAGCCGATCTAGTTTTGTCGTTCGAATGCTGATTCTCGTGGTGCGTGACTAGAATATCCAACTTAAGTAGGGAGCACATTAGCCCACACTAACTGTTGATGCAGTTTTAAAATATATAGTTCTACATTACCTTTACCTAACTGTTTATCAGCTATTTATTATGAATATCTACCGTTAACTATTATAGATGCTTTAAACGGGATGAAAGATATAATGTATGATATAATACAATAAATGAACATGTATGCTTATATAGATATATGCGTATAGCGATTATTTTTTTGAATTCATTATAAATGTAAAGTATTAAAAGATGTATGGAAAGGCCACACCTTGTAGTACTCAGATCTCTATCCTTACGTATTAAGTAAAAGTGGAAAAAAAAAGATCCGCTTTATATACAACAAAGTAAGCCAACCATAAATATAAATACACGTGCACAAAGACAACGCATCTCGTAACCACCACCAGCGGCTACCCAGCTCTGATTGATATGTCAGACTTATATATTAATGTCAGAGTTTCATTCTGATGTTTGAAAGTCACGTTTGAAGATGTAAAAATGAAGGCTTGGCAGTTGATCTTCAATTACTTTGGCAGGTGAACCAGGTTTAGAGGTTACGATGTTAAGCCGTTACTTACTTTACAACAGTTTTACCCCTGCACGGAACATCCTCAGAAGTTTATTACTTTTATATTAAATCATAAAACTGCCTATCTTGCATAAGTACTAACTTGACGTTGAAGTTAATATTTTAGTTTGAACAGTAACATTTCATTCTGTTAAATATTATATGCAGCTTTTAATAAAGAGCGCTAGTGAGTACATCCCTTTATACGATATCCTTTGTTGTAACCGATATTTATCTGTATCTCCTGTGATTTTCGACCTTTAATGCGGATTATATCTGAATTTTCGTATCCTTTAGCCGGGTCTATACCCCTTCTCTAATAGAACAATTTACCTTTGAAAATATTATTTCCGCAACATTATATATTATAGATTTCTGTATTACTAGTATATATGAAGTATTCGAATGATTTTTACGAAATTTGAAAAGATACTTGAATTTTAAATAAATAAATATGCAAATCTACCATTACCTAAATGATCTAGGCAATTAAATACTTAATTAATTTTTATCTTTTTTTATTTTACCTACGTATCCGATTTTTAATTGAAAACGTTCATATGGAATCTCGATCAGAAGGTTTAATTAAGTAATTCAATTAACAAAAAAGGGCTTTAATTTTTTTTTT